AGTATCAAGTGTTAAATAAAAATGAACCCCAGTTGTTTTATTTTCAAGAGAAAATAGCATAGCTTATCTATGACTAGTGATTATTACTTAGGCAAATGTATTGACTTTTAGTTGACCGTAGCAACAGCCAACACACCTTGTTGTTTAGTATCGTTATGTTTATCTGTATTCAAAAGATACAGGTTAATATTTACCCTAGTTGTTAATTTTCACTTTGGCTTCCGGAATTATCAACCATCTTCACCTATTAAGAAGGCAAAATGTGAACGAGAATTTTAACGAACCCGGCTGTGGGTCATTAGACCTATACCTAATTGATATCTGAGGTTACCGCTGGTATTCTTATTCTTAGGCAAAAACCATTTTAGAAATAAATGGGCAATAACTCAAGGCTGGTTTTGATTCTACTCATCCTATCTGATGAAAGTAGAATCGGGTATGTAATTTATTGGCGTATCTTTTTAAAGGTAATTTCAATCCATGAAATCAGAATACAACTGGATTTTCCAGTATTCTCTGAGCATATTTAGAATACAATTCGTTCGGTAGAACTTGGTTAAATCTAGTCCCTTACATTTTCATCTAGTATCCAACAATGGAACAACAATAATAGGTCTAGTTGTAATGGTAAAGATAACTTGATCAAAACACCTAATATACTGTGCAGTCTTCATGAAGTTAGTCGGCATACTTTCTACTGGCACGAGGTAGGTTTGTAGTTTTAGTCATTATTATCCTACTTCGCTGTTACATAGAAAAGACATTTATAACGCAATATAATGGTATGAAGTTGTTTACCTTTGGTATATGAAAGGTAGTAAAAGAAGGATTATTTTGCTGCAGCTTTTATTCTTGGCAAGGATTCTCAGATAACGGCACATACCAAAATAAATAGAAACTGTACTGATATTTCACTGCAGCGTAAACAGATTTCATGTTGTCTAGTCCAGAGTGCTGACTCACTTCTACCAATCACTTTGCAATGGGATCACTGAACTAAAAGATTTCAGTTAGCACTCAAGACTAGATAGCATATAAATGTTTAATCTTCAGTGATCAGTCAACGGATGTAATCCACTCCTGCAGGAGGTCGGTCACGACCCAAATAGCTCAGCCATAAGGTCTCCAACTTCAGCATCGAGTAACGTGAGTTCGAATCTCTGAGAAGAAGGCAGTTCACTCAGCGTTGCAGGATATGCTCTGCTGGCGAGTACTGAGAAGCAATAAACCTAGGGTTTTTCGCCGATTCCATCCAAACAATTAACATCAATGTAAACCACGTTTAATAATCACTTTTGCAATATACTACTGAAAATTATAAATAACTTGAAACCGTTACAGCTAATTAATTATGATGCACTAATATTATCATTGCTATCTACACATTTGATAAGATTTTTGTTCACCTAAAGACAATAACGTAGGGAATACATTGTAAAACATTTTATATCAGATTAATCAACTTACTTTTCATGGAAAATTTTCCTCTTGATTAATCGCAGAGTATTCTGATTGACTTTGATGCAATTTTTAGAGTGAATGAATAAGTATTAAGCCTTACATCAGCTAGTCTATACCTTTCCTTTACTTCGGTAAGACTAATGCATCATTATTTATTAAGGACACTCTCATTTATATTTTATTGGTAAGATCGTCTCTATATTAGGAATAAGTTCTTATGCAGGAGTCTGTATTTGTTTGAACATTTTGAAAGATACTCTCAATGTTCGTTATTTCTGATTAGCTTTCCGTCGAAATCAATTTTTCAACATGTCATGTATTCACTACTTAGTACAGAATACATGCATACTTATAAGTGACCAATAGTATTAAGTCTGGTCTCTGATATCAGAGTGTTCCTGACGCTCAGCTATGATGCCTTTTGTTTCAGATGCAATAAAAAGCTTTAGCCCACCAAGGACAGCTACACATTTCACATAAATACACTACATATTTAACGTGATGCGGTCAAATACTCTGAACTCTTACGACAAAATTGGTCTCCTCATGCACTTATAACATTCAACAGTATGCTGTCGCTAGTTTTTCAAGATAGGACTCTAAGGAGTAGGCACTAATAATGACTATTTGGATGACGTACTGATACTGATTCTGTTGTTTGTGAGGGATAACCAGACAAAATTAAATGGTGAGTAGAAACAGAATATGTGCACTGCGATTAGGGTTTGCTCGTGATAGCGTTTAACAACTTAATTTCAAACGACATCCCTGGCAAGGAAGAGTCCTTCAACCTTGTGGTTATATCTTCCATCAGAATGGTAGAGTTTGGTCATTATTTTGATCTTGACAGAATGATAATGATTACTATTCAGTGGCTACCAATTTATGCACAAGGTGTATGAGATACCATGACTTGATTCACCAATTCAGGATAGGATAATTATTACATGATTTTGTTTTGGCGTAACAAATTTTGCTATCAGGTTATTCGCCTGGCCTAGTGTTTTCAAGCCATTGTTAGTTAGATTATGGATGCAATAAAATCACAAACACTTTGATCTAATCCTTGTGTGAATCTAATGGATTTCATGTTACATAAGAATGTTTTCCTAATTTATTCACCTTATGCACCTTTCACACCTCTGAATGTTTTGCTTTTTGTAAGAACTATAAAATTGTATTGAGTGCAAAATCACAAGAAGTATATGAGGGGTGGGAGAAATAAGATATATGCCTTTTATGTTTGGTGCGAGTGAACAATGTTAATTTAGTGGCGAAAGCGTATCTTATTTTCATGCGTTAATAATTCATGTCGCATTAGACGATTGTGGGATAGGGTGTGTATCTTATGTGCTACTATGATGGTTTGTTTCAGTCAGCCTCAGAGAGTTCTATCAAATCTAAGTGAAAATTACTTTACGGACAAACCACCAGGTGATGTGCAAGTTAAGTTGCTTTAGAAACAGACATGCATATTTTAGTTTCATTTAAGGTTTGTAAGCTATATACACCTGTATTCATGTTCGATCAAACAAATCAACAATCGGAAAGACGATTTCACTGAAGGAAACATTTTTGTTGTTGGCGAACTCATCATCTCAGCTCTATATTCATGAATATATAGTAGGAAGGAGAGAATATCCCAGAGTAACTTCTGGTCAAAAAAGAAAGTCATGTAATATAGATTAGGATATAAAATTCAAAAAACAAATGGTTAGAAAATGAAATATATTTGAACCATAAGAAAAGTATCTAGACTCATCAGTTCATTACGATATCCACGGTGAGGAAAGAGGTTGTATGTACTTCTTCTGACGGTTTGAACTTTTAAAACTGCTAACTCTCCAACCATGCCCAGTTGTCTAACTTTTAATTCTTTCGAGTGCCGTCTTCACACTTTATAGAAAAATTATCAGGAACTTGCGGAAAGAAGGCAATTGTCCTGAGTTTATAAAGAGCTTACTTTTAGTGCTGAAGATTTATTTCCGTTCTCCATTTATCAGGCGGGCCAAATAGGACTCATGGATGCGTATTGCAAGCTGTGGTTAGGGGAAAAAATCAATGTACTTTGCTACACAGAAAGAAATAAGCTAATACTGATATGTTGATGTGGTCCAATGCTTTAGCTTGTCATCCGCATAATAGCAAGGAAGTTTCTGACAAAAGAATGTGATTCTGGAAAATAATTAGAAGTTTCAGACAACGCGGTCTTCAGGTTTCAGTAACTATTCTGGAGTAACATGAATACCTAATGGTCTCCGCAAGTTTTCAGAGTCAGTTATTGGTGGTAAATGCTATCTACAAAAGTAACCAGCTACAAAATTACCGTTCTTGCAGTTGGTGACGGTTGTTTATCAAATTCAGTCATTTTCCATTTCCGCATCAGCTAAATGAATGCTCCTTAGCAATCATAGGCTGAACAATCAAGATATTCGTTCTGTAAGACTGTTTGCTGATAAAGACCAATCACTTCAGTGCATGTAATGACGAGGGAGATACAACAAGTCTCTTTATTATCAAGGTGATTTTCAGCTACGTACATTATCGTAACAAACAGCTACATCTCCAGAAGTTTCCAAATACTTAAAGCAGCAGATTTTAAAGTTATAAGAAATAGCTTGTAATCACATCGTATAAAAAACTACATCAAGCTTTTACAATTCTTTTCTGCTACTTCCCTCAAATGTTTTCTTGGTAAAGATGCTTCTCTTATAAATGTGAAATGAAAATTAATCTTAGATAAATAGTAAAAGATATGCGGCTTCACACATCACTCTAGGCATGATAAATTAGCTTAATCTGTTAACAACACTGAGCACTGAAGTGACCGAATCAACCTTTATACACCTATCGGAAATGAAATCGTAAAAAGGGTTGGATAAACATGGCTTCAGTTTTCTTGTTGACTTCTAGTAACTTCCGAATCAGAGCAACTATGTTATGTAGTAAAACAAAGAGTTCTATCTTGTGTTTGAAAAGTAACCTCTCGCTTTAGGTGAAGTGGTATTTAGTAGTGCATGTAAAAGAACTGAAATGATGGTTCTATCAAAAATAATTTCATGCAAGGCTAATTGTTAAACTTTGAGATTGCAAAATAACAGGTAAATGGATAATATTTGACACCATGTTTTACGCAAACCATAATGCCGTCACAGGCATAATGACTGATTTTGAGACAAAACCTCTCTCTGTTGGACCCTAACCACCATACTCCAACCTTTTGATCTGGTCCTCCATTCAGGTTTGAATAAAATTGCCGGATCAATAATCTCTTTTTATTTTCTTCCATAGAAATTTGGTCTCACTGTTATGAAAAATTGAAATTGTTGGCTAGTGAAACTGTGCTCCTTACTACATACTCACTAATGAACTGTAATCTTTTTAAAGAATTATTCTTTCATAGAAATCGTTTAAAGACCTAAACATGCACGAACTAATCTTGATATTTAGATACTAGCTGTAACACCCATTTGCTTAAATGATTTTCATGAATGAACACCAATAAAATTGTGTTGTTTTTTTTCTTTGCTAAAACATAGGAACAACGATGTCAAAATCTAGACTGAATATTTGTAGTCCAAGCTATCAGCAGCAACAAGAGCCACAACAACAACAACAACAAAAGCAACAACGTTCCATACTATCCGGTAGTATATGCAATAAATCAGTAAAAGAACGAAGAATATCGCGAGGACAACAGACGGATGTGTTATTTGACTTTATTAACGCTGAAGCAAAAAGATTCCAACGTGAGGGCAGTCAAACAGATAGTGGCATAAGTAGTTCTTCCTGTCGACCAGGTACATTCGGCTCTCTGACTAGAAGTCGAATAGAATATTCCATGAACAATGGTTGCAATAACACCAACAATACCAGTATTATTGACGATAATCTTAAAGATAAATACCAGGAAGAAGTTTTTTCTTCTTACGAAAATTCCAAGTAATTCCTAATCGTATTCATCACTGATTTCTTTGTAATGCTTTGTTTATTTTAATCTAATCTATCCAAAAACGTTTTTCAAGATTTGTTGAGATGTTTTTTTTCTATTTTTATAAATGATATGTTTATTTGTCGTATGACCATCAAGGAACTCGCGTTTTACGTAATCACATGCATTTAAGATGCTAAAGATAACCCTGATGCTGAGTTTCCAAATTGTTAACACTAACAAACAAATATCTAACCATGTGGTCCACGTATTACACTTTGTTTCTAAGGCCAAGTTTGTCACAAGTAGTTAAGAGGCTGAGTTTCCTAATGCAAAATAGATTCATTTAAATATCACCTTACGGTAAAGCGGAATAATAGATAATAATAATAATAATAATAATAATAATAATAATAATAAAGCGGAATTTTAGTTTTCACGTTTTCTGTAGAGTTTCTTCTATCATCCAGTAACGAAAACATTGTATGCCTATATCCCAACAATCTAACGCAGTGGATGTAAAGACTAATTTGAAAAATGGTTTTCCACAAACGTAGAAAATTGCATAATTAGTTCATCTATCATAAAAATCTAATTCATTCACGTATAGTTACCATCTAGTCTACTCGCTTTTCTTCAGTTAGATCTATTAAAATATGCATTCAGCCTCATTCTTAACACATCTGAACTCCTAAATTCTGAAACAAAGAGGTGTCAGGAATCTATATTAATAACTTGACATATCATTGAAACGTCATGCAGTGGATGTTAATACAGCTCGCACCCCTTCGCCATATGAAGACTGACACTCTTTTGTTAACTTGCAGTAACCCAATTATTACCATACACAGTTATGTTGGAAAGACCAGTCAGTAGGTTCGCAATTCATTCTAAGCATTGAATTCATGTCAACTATTAGTAATAATGTCTCACTGATATAAATGTATCGAAGTTTTTAAGAAGTCAGGTTATTATTTTTATCTAACTTCTAGTGAAGGGCATACCTTTAGTACAATTACTTCTTCCAGAGATATTTTGGACTTCACCCACATTTTGGTTGATTGGAGGCAATCGGCAAGAAGCCTTAGACCCAGGTTTCGTACTTGTTGCCACTCGTCAGAAAGGTGTATCTGTAACCTAGACTGAACTGATGTCCGGCCCGAGATTCTCTCTCACATCACCCAGTACGGTAGTCGGCGACATTACCACTGAGCTATTCGGGTCGCAACTGCCCTCCTCACGAGATAACATCTGATTTCATGTTGTCTAGTCCTGAATGCTAACCGAATTCTATCGATAACTTCTGCAACGTAGCCACCAGGCTGGGAGGTTCAGCATCGCAGTGCGCTTTCGACTATGTCTGGAAAACAAAAGGATCAGGTGGTTATTCATAGCTACAGGTATACGAAACATGAAATATGAAATCACAATTACATATAAAATGAAACGTTTATTAGTATAACGTGCGAAAAATTGCTAGAATGATTTGACAGGAGTCATGATTAAAGCACACTGTTTATGATTTCAGTGCGTAGCAACAATGAGGCGATCACTAGAAAAAGAAAACACTATACAAAATCAAGCGAATGTATATTTTGAAAAAACGTCAGGAGGTTTACACTAAGTTACTGTGATCCGCGCATCTTCACATCTGCATGTTCAGAAGTTGGTTGGTAAAGGTATGTAATAATGAATTTACGAAGATGCACACACATGACGTGATATATACACACTCAAAAACATTGGAGAATAGTGGCTTTACCTCGGTCATATATAGGTGAAGGTGATACGTTGAATGTCAAGTTTATCATTGAAAATGCACCCAAGACAAATAGAGCACTGATTCCTTTCTATTTAAGAAGTTAAAATTTGAGTAGATAGGTTGGAAAGTTACTTGATCAATAAAAAGGTAGGTTAGCATCTAAGGATAACGGCGAATGGTATATTTAGGTTACCAGCGTCCTCGTCAAGGTCGAATTCGAATAAACCGAAGTTCGATGGCGCTGAAACACTTGCATATTGAGAAGTATGGATCGTCAATACAAAAGGTCCCGTGACTTTGACTATTTCCCTCCTTCAGTAGCCCTTTTAATCAATGAAAAGGTGTTTCATTGTAATTTTACAAATCTGAACTGTTTGTAAAAGGAAATTCTGAGACTCAATGGAAGGTGTTATCCACAATACGTTACCAGTTATTTGAAAATAGAAACACCACACTATTTAGCATTGATGAAGGAAGTATTCTACAAAGCGTATGCAAACAGTGCCGGGTGATTCATCACTGATAGATTCCATTTATATGTCCGATAAAAGGTAGGGGATTCGTTGTTCACACTAACTTGGGTCATTAAGAAAGGGCCATTCGTAAGCTTGAAAAGAGTTGATGACGTTTAGAACGACATACCTCAGTCGTCATAAGCACTTTGTAAAGATTCGACTAACCAGACTGTTCGATATTCCAAATTACTGTGTTTGTGTTAGAGTTTTCTTGCATCTGAAGTTTGGGGTAATTATTCGATACCTATTATCAAAGGCGCGAATGTTTACTTGACTACTTTAAAACACTAATTGATAATACATGTCTCTGGCATCGTATCTTTCCACAAAAATTTAATATTGACAAGAGATTAATTATCCGACCCACCTATTACACATAAACTGTTTTCAATACAAAGGATTATGAATTGCATTAGGGAAACCCCAGTTCCAAGACAAAAGGCTTGTATTTACCGGTTAAAATATGTGATTCAAACCTACATATTTGATTCAAGATAATATCTGCCACCATCTGTCATCTGTATATATTCAATGTAAATGTCAGAAGGAGTTAAACGAATATCAGACACTAACGTATACAAGCTAAGCAACGAACTGTTCTTATTCACAGAAATGGCTCTAAGCTTGATCTCTCACAGGGTTACTAATGCACACTTTGGAGGAATTAGAAACTAGTACAAATTTCGAGTATTTAGGACCAATTTGATTTTCTTTAATAAACTACAAACTTCTTTTATATCTATCAGTCACGAGTAATCCATTATAGAAAAGTGGACGCCCCAAATTTAAACCAAAATATGAAATATAAACTATTCATCAAGCTGAATGTGATCAATAAAGAGGATTCACAGATGAAACTCTAAGAGGTTCGAAATATCTTGAAGAATTTTTCGAAGCTACAGTTTGTCTACCATAGACCCCATATCTTGTAGTCTAGCCATAGTCTGCTTCTGGCAAAACGTGAGCACCATTATTTTAATTTGAAAAAGGATTTTACGTTGACGAGTTAGAGAGTATAGAATAGAAAATATATGGAGGTGATTAGTTATATGCATTTTTCAACCAATATTGAGTTGCGCTGAAAACTTCCTTCAGGAGTAACCTTGACTGACGAGTACTAATATTTTCGAATAAAAGAATACTTCACTGCTTTCTGCAGTAAATATTCCATTATAAAAGTACCCAAATAAACAGTAGTTTGTGGTATCATAGACTACCGATTGTTTGCACCATTTTCACTGATGCAGCAGCCTCATGACGTAGTTATTATACTTCTATCCCCTCTATGTTTCATTTTAGTTCGGATAACTAGTTGGGACCAATCTTATTTTGTAGCCCTATGAATTTTAATTTTTTGTCATATGCTATATACGCTAACTTCAGAAGGAAGTGCACAGTTCAAGACAAAATTATAAATGTTTTCACCAATTTTTTATTGAAAATGTTCCTCCAGTCACTTGAACAAAAAGTATTTACCTTCTAATTCTTAGTAGAAATGAAAGTTAAATAGTGAGAAGCGTCTATCTTGCTTACTCTTGGTTGACACTGAAACCTTACTATACGCACTACAAATATAGCCAATACTAGTTCAGTACTTTTGTTTCCCGTAGAAATATTCTTATAGACAGGAATTTTGCCTAGCGATCACGTCGCTTTCTATCAACAGTAGGCTGTGAGTAGCATTAGTAATCAAAGTATACCGCTTGTTATTTTTAGGTATTTGAATCATGAATACTAACCTTGCGTATTTTATGAACTAACTGCACCGCCCAGAAATAAAATCATATATCTTGAAAAAGCCTATGATGATATATCATCATGAAGAAACAGCACTTTAGCAGGCTCGCTTTTCTGCTTTGGAGTCTTATTTCCAGCAACCTGGAGGTCTGCAACAGTGATGGCCAGCGGAACTAGACATCATGTTCAATGATGAGCTAATATGGAAGAAAATCTTGGTCGTATTCGGATCACAAGCGAATATATCATAATACTCTCACCTAATAATCTGTCACAGTGCTCTGAAAGATATAAATGGTAACTGCGTCCCAAGTTTTCTAACAACTCTCCTAGCTTTCAAGCTAGGTTTCCTGAACTTCAGTTAATTTGGTAATGGAAATAATCTTTTTCGAACATTCATAACTTAAATGACATCATCACTTCATTATTTAGTACCACTCAGAGAATGATTTTATTTTTACTCCTACTCTGTATGTTCCATTACATTGATTTATTTAGTAGTCAAACTAATGTTAAATGCAATTTCAATCGTCAACCCACTCACTTTCCAAGAGATTCAACTAATGATAGGAGTTATATGCACAAAATTAAAGGACAATCATATACTGGCAAGGTAGTCCATGTGAATGTGCGTGATTCGCGACATTTGCCACGATCATCTACATTACATGGATATTTGGATATCATATGTGCAGTGAACTCAACTGACAATGTGCGTACGGTTACCTTAGATAGACATACCTATTCCAATGGTGTAGATAAAAATGGACGTTCTTCTTTTGGATTGTCAATTCGAACAGTCAAAAGTAAGTTATCGAATCCCATTTTTTTGTTTTTGTTTCCCATGACTAAACAACTGTGATAAGGTTCATAGTATTGCCCCTTTTCCTAACGATCGATCTTTCTGTCCACTTTTCATGCCCCACTTTGTAGTCTCTGACAAGCACTGCTGTCCCTTTTTTCGAAGGATTTTGGGGCAGTTAGTAAATAAGATGCAGGGGGTTTCGGAATCAAGCTTCTTTCCCATCAGCGCTTCCGATGAACTTCTATGAACTAGGGGTGTGTCGGTTGGTGTTGTTCTGAATAATTTCTACGGACGTTGCTTACGAGCACATTATGATGAATTGCATATGTGCATAGAATCTATTTTAAAATAGTCTAACCTGTAAACTAACACTTTTATGTATCAATCTCTGCCTTGTTTATTCATATTTCAGTAGAAAGACTGAAAGCGCCATGCAATCATATTCACCTAATGGATTCTAGTTCACTGATCAACCATCGTCCTTGTCTCTAATCCATTCCAATAATTGTTAGGAAGAGACATCTTATACATTCTAGAATGTCTAGCGGTTAACAGAATATGTAGTACGTAATATTGCTAAACACTAACTGTTATCTGACAGGAATGAAAAGTTTTATAAATGATCTTCAACGTACCGTAAAACTGCTACACATTTCTTTCAAATAAGAACGTTGTTACTTTTACAGTCTCTTTGACTCACTACCATAATGGTTTAGATAGCTACAATGCTTATTTCATTCGCACTATTCAGATGTGTAAAGAACTAAATATGAGACCGAAGAAATCAAAAATGAATCCGTCTTGATTTTAATTTTATGTCAATAAATAGTCATTCTGTTGGAAAACAAGAAGATGAATCAGATCAATGATGACACAATAGCGACTGAAGAGATAATCTGGTGTAAATTTAAGTCGAGAAAGGCAATATGATGTAAAATTGAAACCATCTACAATTTTCACTTCTCGAGGTTAGGCAAATTAATCTAGTTACTCTCATTATCTTTTTTTACGCATGCAATGGAATAATTACATCGTTGTTGCAAAATCACTATGCTTTTCTCCGTTGGCTATATACCTAAAGCTTAAAGGAAGACCAAAGCAGAAAGAATATTTTGATTATTTTATCAGACAACTGTACAGTAATAACCAAATAACTGTCGATATGATAATTTTCTTCATACATTTATCCCTTACCAAGTCCTTTTTAGGATTCCAAAAAAATTACTAGAGTTGCAAAAAAATACACTAAACGTCATGAAACATTCAAGATGATAATTTGTAAAGTTCAAGAAAATACTAAGAGATACGTCCTGAAGTCACTTATTTTTACTGATAGACACGAAATACTCAGAGTGTACCGCCTATTGTAGACATTTTACTTCCTGTTAATTTTGAATCCCTGTCATAGAGAACCGAACTGATGACATTTCTGTAACCCATCAAATAATGAAACAAACCTAATAATTAACAAGCCTTGATTCGATCTAAGTTTGGCATAAGGTGATTACCTATTGTCAAAATACACGTAGGTTGTAGATGTTTCAATTTTTCACAAGAACCTAACTAACTTTACTTAGTACAAGTAAGTTGTTATTAAATAGTGAGTGGTCACTAGAAAGGAGATTACATACCCTTCACCAAACGAGATGCGAAACATATGTTCAGCTTTCATGCCAGAAGTATCCTAGATGGTATTGGAGTAGACTTAATGAAATGTTAACCATTATCGACAGCTTACGTCAATTCATGCTAATTGCTTTGAAATCCCTCACTTTTTTACAAACTACAGAGTTGAGTAACACAGTCAAAATCGTTGTTGAGGTTGCTGTCGACACGCCATATCCTCTACACCTAAGCATTTCTGTTGGTTTAGCACCATTATCAACATCGATTAAAAAAATATCTAGGACACTGACTTGTTCAATGGCATATGAATTTACAAAAGGAAAACATGAGAATTCATTTTCACTCTTCTTTTCTTAAGCAAACTGACAGCCCACAGCTGCGTGACTGAAGTTTAACTTCTGAAGCTTCATTGTTATGTAGTCTGCCACAATGTATCTGACAAGTGAAACTGGTGGAAGCGTGTACAAATGGAATTAGTAATATACCATTCGATAACTAACAAAATTCACATAGAAATATAAATGATATCCCTTAACATTTGAAAAGTATCCTACATATTTTCTCCCTAAGAATTGAGAATCTTATCCGTCTCACCTTGTTACATAATTATTCAATCTAGTGAAACAATTTTCGCTGACAAAAAGTATTTGTGTTCATTTTATTCAGACTTTTATCTCTTCTGTAAAATTCTATATTGAAATCAACTGTGAACAGTTTTGAGCCTAACTAAACACACAAAATAGCCTGTTTATGTTGACCTCAAAATGCTGGTTCATTTTTCTGTCTAAACATTTAGTATGCAGGAAAGATCAAAACTGTCAACATTGTTTTGAGGTTTTTCTTCCTTTCTTATTCAATTCATATTTCATGGTCCTTAGTAGCGATAAGTTAGTCTAAACAATTTCAATCATGACAAATATTCCAACTGCATTGATTATGACCTGTTTTATGTTTGGAAACAAAAAAGTCTTTTTTTTTTGTAAGTAAGCATATTTTATTTGTTTATTTATTCTTTTGTTATTGGTCCACCCGTATCTTTAAACATACTACGTGCATCCACCAGTGAACAAATGAGTAAACGTAGACACCAGTAGATATGTACTCAGTCCATTATACCAGAGTTGAGACTGATAAATCCTATGGTTGAAACTATTGATGATTGTATTAGTTGGTTGTAGGCAATCGACAGGAAGCCTTGAACCTGGGTCTCGTGTTTGTTAGCACTTATCAGCAAGGTGCGTTTGCGACGTCGACGGAACTGACGTCCCGCCTAAGATTAGGACCTGCGCCACCCAGTATTTTAATCGGCGACGTTATCACTAAGCTGCTCGGGTCGCGATTGAAAATAAAATCGATAAGATTTGATCTTAACTCAGGACCCGACGACATGAAATTGCTTGCTTTCCGCAATCAATCAATGTGTTGATGACTGTTTTTTTCGTTATCAAACACTTATTTTGGGGGCAGATTGATTGTGATATCCAGTATCTTTCGTTATCGAAAAAGTCGGTGCAAAATGAATAAATGGCAAATATATACACGGTGGTGATTTGCAAAAACAGTTGCTGGACAATCCACCTTGAAGTTTTCCAAGTGGGTTAACGAGGTTTCAGTTGACTTAGTATCAACATCCAGATAAATGAAATCCAAAATGTAATAGTTTCATTTATTAGTGGTTCGCCTGCACGAATGAAATGTTGAAATTGTGGTGTTTTCTGATGTCCATTAATTCAAATTTCTTTGGATCAGATCTAAAGCACTTCAGCTGAACTGGCTAACTCGATAGGACAGCAGTGAGTGACTGCCTCACTAGCAGGAGGAAAAAAATCAGTCAAGAATTAATAAGAAGCATTATTTCAAGGTTCACTATTTGGGTAACGATTACCGCACTTTCCTTATTGTTTCTTGGGTGTTGTTATGGGATAAACTGATCAGTGGCATTGCAAGTTCCCACCTGTAAGGAAGCCCTAAGTTCCTTAAGTCTATGGATATATATTCCCGATGTAATAAAAGGATGGAAATACACGTCAAGTTTGACTTTCTGTTGGCATCTAATCACCCTGTTTCTTCTATCTTATGCGTCATATGTGTGATTCCCTTGTTTCAACAAACGATATAATGGAATAATTTATGTTAAAAAGTAATCATTACTATTTTCTTTTTGTTGGCATTTTTTAACTTGTAACACTGTTCAGAGGATAAAACAATTCAACATATATACTTTCACTAGTAAAATTAACCAAAATGAGAATAGCAATTTTTATAGATTAAAATGAATCCATGATATTTCATGGTCTCCATTAGCTGCGAAGTGCTTCAAATTGCAATTGTGACTAGTAATAATTAGCTGATTTACTTTCTCCTTATGACAGCAGTAGACAGATAACTCTGAAATAATAAAACGCTATTGAAGAGGGATACAACCTTGAAAATGAAGTTACTAACCGTTCATTAAAATAATTGCTTATTGACATATGATTAAATTAAAGGGAAGAAACTCAATGAAAATTATCACTAATCGAAACTTTACAGCTGCTTAATACGTTAAGGTCTATAAAAATGAAATGTAAGTGATAAGCTAACGACTAAGAAGAGAGTAATAAAAATAATATGTGGCCATTTTTTTCGCTAGGAATGTTGTAAGGAAACGGCTTCTGTGAAGCGAACATACTAATATTACTGGGGCTTATTAGGAATTAACCCTATATCTCATGTTGATAGGTTGTCTAAAGATTGTGCTGTTGAGAACATTGTTTTCTTTCTGACTTAACTTCTGTAGAACATTGTCGAACAAATGAGTACATTGTCTTCTTTGACTTATCTCAAAATGCTTGTTGACAAACATAATGGAAGTGAATATGTTAGCTGGGGGGAAGGCGGAATGCTCTACGATAACCGTATTTTGTAATATACATTGATACCAATCCACCTGCACGAAAAAGTTCCTTCAGTACTCCTCCACTCTTTCTCTCTGTTATCTGTTTTACTTTGTCCGCTCTGAATATAAGTGTCTTATCATTTTAGTCTATTGTTTTCCATACTTCACAATGAGCATCGTAAATCAGTAATCTTTCCTTAAAGAAATTTAAGTGATGCTAAGTCTTTCTTCTAACAGAACTGCTGTATATGGATTTTTCGCTCTACTGGAAAAGCTTTTTATTGGTCCACATTTATATCTGACACATGAAAAGCAGTCAAAGTCAGAAACTTTTTTGATCTATTTATCTATCCCATGAATATTCTCTTCATAACTACCATCACTTCAACTTTTTTATTATCCTGAAGTCCTAATAAGTGAATTCATAATTTCTATACGTAGTCTCTTATGAATCCAGTGTATTTTTCATCATTCTAAAAGTAAGTTTTAGTGTGATCACAACGTGTTTGAGAGTCAAAGCAAGATTTTCCAGAATGGTTCGCTGTGAATGTAGCAGCTTCTTCCGTAGAATAATTCTCATCGTTACAAACAACGAATAAAAGGTTAACTCACCTTAAATATTATTTTGATTTCCTGAATGTTCATTTAATCATCCTTAAATGAAAATAAAATCCTTTGTCCAAGTGCAATGTCTTAAAGATATTCTGTTGGAAAGCAATTATTTTTTACAATAAAATAACGTTGTTGGTAGAAATTTATTTGAAATTTTGGAAGCTTTCTTGCAAACAAAAGACAATCAGTTAATTAGATTGATACCCCTCTCCCAACCTTTTTAAATACTTAATGAGACTAAATATATTAATCTTTTGATAGTGTCATTAATTATTTTATTATTCATTGATTTTTACCCAGCAACTGAGGCATGAAGCTTTAGAAGCTCTAAAAGTTGTTCATTGTTTTCGTAAGGATTTATACAAAGACTAGTTGCTAAGCTACAATTAATTTCACCTTAAACAATAGACAAATCAAATATTTGTTCACCGTGATTGGTTCTGTTGCTTATTTAATGCTCAATATATGTTTGCCTGTGTCGCCTTGTGAAACATGCACTGGCAGATTACGGAACCGAATTCCAAAACCAAGTAAATTTAATTTTTGATATCAAAAAATGTCAAGCCACAAGCATTAAAACTGCGTCAATAGTATTGTGATAATGAAAGCAAGTGCAGAGAATTTTCAAGTGAAATCATACTTAAGGTGTGCAAGTTAGCAGCACGCCGGAGAGTTAGGCTAATTTACTGGTGTCAGAGATATTGGATCTCAGAAACTCTTTCAATGTTGTAACAAAACAAATTGTTGAAGCATATCAGAAATTAAAAGATATTATTTAAGCTAACTAGCTTTGTGCAACACTTTGTTTTATTAGAACCAAATGTTAAGCACCTCAAGGCAACTGAAGTGGTAACTTGACAACCATGCACAAGATGTATACTAGATAATAAACTGTATCTCTTGTGTAGATGCTACAATGCCCATTGACTATCGTGATCTCATCGGTTGGATTGTCGTTTAAGTTGGCTAACCACTGTTTACAATTTCAGAACTGAAATACTTATGGAGTAACATATATATGTACTACCAGCCTGCCATACTACAGCCCTCTCAGACTTCAGTCAGTAATCCACTAGATGCTCCTCTCCGTTGTAACTTTTCTGGGTCCGGAAGTGCATCATGTAATCACATGACAGCTGGATAAAGCCCTTGATAGATAAACTGAAGTGGCCCAGCTCACGCAGTGCCTGATCAGTGACCCGTAAGCTGCTGTTGAGATCTCTGCTACTATCCAGGTTTAATTTTACGTTCATTATTCACCCGCATCAATAACATCTGTTTAATAAACAGCACTTATCTCAGATAATCCCCTCAAAAACAAATACAATAATCAGTGCTCACTTTTCTACTTATTGATCTGATGAAACACAAAAGAGTTTAAAGGCTAATCAAAGTTATCACGAAACGTTTTTCGGTCTAAATTCTTATTATTCTAATGAAATAGATTTTACGAGTTTCTTCGAATTACTACAAAAATAAACCGTTTTTAGAACTAGCGAAAGTTTTACGTGTACTGGATCATTTTTACTCAAGATCAAATTTGAGCAGTGTCGCATGAAACTGAACTGAATAACAGGATCGGAAGAAAAACGGAATGTATGCAAAATGAATAGGATAAAAATCAAGAATGAATCATTCAGTTTCAAAAATTTACTAATTAAAGACCTTGGTCTTAACAAAATTAAATCACTTTCCGGAAACATTTTGAAAAATAATATTTTTTCTTTTTTTAGTGTGAATATTGCATTGCTCAAGTGATATAATCTGACTTGTAGCTGTGATAACAGTTTATACACAACTAACTAGTAAATAAATGAATCTCCAAAACAATTTAACTCGTGTCACCAATTTTATTTATCCTTTTCTTTTTACTGATTTCACCATCTACAATGAACACGAACTACAAATAATCTCTAGATGCCTCAGTGATAGCTGAATTCACACCGACACCAACAGACCTAGTCTACAAACTGTTAAACGTGTAGTTCCAGATAGTCCTGCGGAGAAAGCCGGTGTGAGAGTTGGAGATTTTGTAATGAAGGTAAGCAAATACAGTTAAAAATAAAACACAGGAAGTACATTTACTAAAACAAGCATCACACTGAAAATATAAAACTATTTCTTTTTAACCTTCAAACTTTATTGGCATACATACAACTGGATAACTACGTCCACGATCACATAACAAGTCGTTGAAAACTAGAATATACTTACTCATTTCCAAATGAATATAACTCTGATGAAACTACTGCTAATAATTTCGTTGTTGTTAATTAGATTCTTACAGGAGAAAAACCATATTGTTTAACATGCACGTACAAGTTATTATCACATACTTCAACATGAAGGGGATTTGCTCCAAAAGTATTTGGAAACCAATTAAATCCTTGTGATAAAGGTGAGTCGTACGGAAGCATGGCTTCCATACAAGTTATCCGAATAGAAACATTTTACATAATGAATCACAAAATATACTTAAGCGTAACCGGTGGACAAAGACATTGACGAAAAAGATATGAAAAATGATATTTGAAAAAGAACAAGTTTTTGAGGAATAAATGTGGATGGAACATGAGAGCTTTAACCTGAAAGCATGTGGGAAAAACAAAAAAACAATATGACAACTGACTGCTATTTTCCCCTTAAGTGTAGATCCTTGAAAATGAAGTAGCGAAAGCTACTTTTTTTATCCGAAGAATCTTACAAAGATATCTGGGGGAAATAAAGCTGAATCCCTTCTTGGCATAATCCGATTGCTGAAAAGACGATATCTCAAAAAGAAACTTAGGACGAAAAGATAGCGTTATTCTATTTTGAAACAGCTCTTTACATGTGCACAAATACTAGTTTGTATGACTATGTATCCAATAACTATGGTTGAAATCATCACAACTACAGAAATATGAGGCCGTCTGACAAATATGACCGGATAGTTTTGCTACAAGAAATCCACATAATTTTACACCCAGTTTACAGAAACACACTTGCTCAGTTTTTAAAAACTTGATTTGCTTTTATTGCTTTGGGAGAAGAGAGTTTTCACTTGTTATTATCCCTGATAGGATTAACCAATACGTTTATAGTTAGAGTAGAATAAGGAGGAACTACTTATTTTCTCCAGGTATATAGAGTCTAAAATATGAAGGATTTTAATTTTTAGTCGAACCTAATACTGAGGAGGTAACTAATGACAGCTTGCCATACAGTGCTAAAGATTCAAAAAATTCTACACCATCCTATTCTAAAGCTTTGTCTAGGATGCTGAATGCGGAAATGATAAAAGTTTCAAAATGCTCAGTAATAAGTTCTGGTTTACGTGATGAAGACTGTTGAAAAAGCTATATTCTATCCTCTTAAACAGTGTCATTCCTTCAATAAAGAAGGGTTGACAGTCAAAAGATCCTTATGAAATTCCCCATCCCCATCATCTGACAAACGCACGAAGAAGACATCTCGCTCATCATCGAACAGATAGAATGGGAAAACATCCCAGTCATTTTTAAATCAATCTTTGACATAGAATATGAGGAATATCCCGTTGCTACTCGCCTATGAGTTGTCTATGTCTTGGCTTGAGCCTACTGTAGCACAGCCAAAAATAACAAACAACCATTCTAAATGAAGCAGAAGTCTTGTTCTTTTGCTAAGTTTTGAAAGTATAGCATCTTTGCATTTCCGTTAAATTAGACGTTTACAAGTTTACCTCAATGGTTAACGATTCGCATACAAGCTGTTTGTTAGGCTTACCAAGATATGTCCAAAAGTCAATAGGCGTATTTTGTCTTCCCCTTGACAGTAATCAAATGTTTTTTCACAAGATTTTCTTCAAACTACGGAAAAGATGTGCTGATATGCTTAATCTTTAACGCCATATTTCTGCCAAAGGTATTTTCAATGAAACAGACAAAATTGTTAACACATGCGGGTAAAATCTATATATGTATACGTAGGGACAGGTGCTCAGTGACCGCACTGGATGATCGTTATGGTATATCATGAACTAACAAAAGTAAGAAAAATGAACCATTGGATTCTTACCCAAAGGCTTAATAGTAATGTGCTGGACGTGGTACCTTAAGGTCCTGACTTCGGTCCCTGGTGGGGTCATGGGTGCGCAATGCTGAGGAGTTCCATACTATGACGAATTAACTGTCCAGTGCTCTCAGGTACTTAATGATTATCCAGCTGATATCAGTTCGTGATGAATAAAAACTCCTAATCAAATTTCCACAAACCTCAAAATGAATCCAGATGAAGTTAATCATCTAAAACTCCCACGAGTTGACTACTGGTCTATTGGTAAATACGAAAATGAGGCATTATATTTAGCAATGCAAATATTTCAAGGTCAAAGCGGGTTATCGCTTTTCAAGTAAATTTACATCAATAATCAAGAGCTTGGCAAAGAGAAAAAGAAACAAAATACAGTACCTGCTATTCGGAGGCAAGGTTAAAATCATTTATGCTTCCTAATGTAAATAAAAGGAAATACAGATAATTACTAGTAATTAGTAGGTTACAGTACAAGTGTATTGTATTTACGTATCTGATATCAGTAATCCTTTCGATAAGCAAGCCTTTTACGATATAGTCCTTAACAAAACTTCTGCTAAAAAAATGAAAGATCTAGTTCTGCATAAACTTCCCACCATTCAATAAAGCCTACTGATTCAGTTCACACTTAAAAATACTGTAAGCTGTTTCTGGTAATCACCCGTTTGTCTACTCTGCATAATCAGAAAGCCGTTTGGTAATACGACCTGTTTGAATCATCTCAGTTATTATACATTAACTGGTACTATGGAGAATCTTTTCCTCGTCTTAATCCTTGCTCTAGACTGCAAGAAATTTGAATGATTGCTCAAAATAAGACTATAACTTCCACAGTATCTGCATTATTATCTCAATCTTCTTGCAGTGATTTCACAGTGTTTTCTTATAATGCGACGTAAAATAATTTGTATTTTGCTTTTTTGCGGGAGTTAAACGAATGAACCACATGGCGTGCTTCACAACTACAATGTCGGTAATTAAACGTGAATCCATCTAAATGTCGCTTATGTCGCATGTCGCCTATAATCCAACCATTGCCCGTTCCTGATTAACTTTATTAAGAACGCATCCAATGATATCTATTTTGAAGTAAATCCAAATGCATACGGTTAAGTTTTCTGTTATGTTGGCCTTGAAAATCACTGAAACAGCTTTCTATATTTGCGTTTAAAAATAAATCTAAATTTTGCTTATTATAAGAATATCAGTAGAGAAAGTTAACGTAACTGGTAACTTCCCTTTATGGTATGTAACCAATCGGAAAATTAGTGTATGGAAATCTCTGTGACAAATAACATGTGACATTCTGATACAGTGACTACACTCAATGCATAGTACTGAATATACAGTAAAACGTAATTATTCTATATTTATTGGTTCATTTTATCATTGATATTTTCTATTTCAATAAATTACTAATCTATCCTTTCAGTAAATTATCTGTCCTATGAGTCAGTAATTTATGTTATTGGGCGTATACATAGTTGTGTTACCATAGTATTTTCGATACACTGTAACAATGATTCTTACATTGTTTCATATTTAATCGTTCATCTTTGTTTATGATAAAAGTAGTTACTTTTCAATTCCATGATGAATAAAGATTCTGTTTGCTTAAACCACTGAGAAGCTAATGTTTCTGATGTTTATAAGCTGTGAAAACAACCATATAATCATCTCCGCAGACCGAAGTTGTATCGCTTTAGAAATTGGCTTATCCAGTAGAAAACAGAAGGAAAATTTTAGAATTCCTGTGTATTGGTTGCTGAATAGAAATTGGTGATACTTTGTTGTAATCCTAAGGCTGAATGAACTTCTCTCGTACAATGAAACTACAAAGGTTTATAAAGTGAATCATTGCACTGTTCTAGTATTCTATAACATTAAATGCGTGCAGACTATACTTAGTTTAAACCTACCAAATGGACTACCGAAATTGGCGCAGATATTGATGGAGTCAGATTAGAATGCAGATGTTTTCTTTTTTTTTCATTTTACATAAAGTACAAATCTCTCAGTAACTTTACAGAGATAAAACTTCTGTCTTGAGTCTTCTACATAAGCCACTGTCTGTTTAATAAACTTTGAAATAAAGTTGGGTTGATTTCAATCGATACAAGCTACCTCATCTCCATAGAAGGTGGCTATGCTGTTCATGAATTAGATACGGAAGAGCAGGCATGCTAATAAAACTGTGAATAAATGTCTTATGAACTTAAGATGTTCATTTATTGTCTCAAAAAAGAACAGTTCACATTAGAAAAAGAGAAAACGAATTGAAAGACGGTAGATAACAATTAAAGAACAGGTTATAATCCATTTTGAGGAGACGAAACGGGTATGGTGCATGAAACTGAATTAGTTTCATTTAATTCAGAGAACGATTCCAGGTCCTTAACAGCTGACTTCCGTGAGTATATCACTTCGATGATAACCAACCTCACGATGACTTCCAGTAAGAATTTAAACCTTTCTCCTTATTCTTACCCTCTTAAACGAAGTATTTAGGAGAGATGAGTATTGCTTATTGTTGGTTACTCACTTTTTCTACTTCACTAACAAAGTGAACTAAGGGGAACTTGAAGTGATCATTCACCCTATGAAGCTGCTGATATTATTTAGCTTCACAGAATAAAGTATGGGGAAGAATGTGCTTCACTGGAAGTTGATATTTGTAAAATCAGCATGAAAGAATAGAAGTTCTCTTAGAAATACGATGTTACGTAATAAAATAAGTATTTATCCATTACATGCGAACGGAATATTTGCTTACATAGTAGCTTCGAATGTCACTAGTTGAATGCTTTGGTTTGTCAGTTTATATCTTAATACAATGCCATTCATCTGAGTGATTATTTTTATTGTGGGTTTGTCTACTTCCTAGTACTGCACAAACAACGTTAGCCTTCAATTTATTAGGATTTTTACTGATTTATTTATTTCAGGTTGGTTTTCATCGTAGACTGACATCCGAGGAAGAAACATTGCACACCTGGGAGCAATGGACAGTTATTTCATCATAGTATTGAACTCCTCGTCAGTGCACACTCATTACCCCTCCAGGGGTCAACGTCTCGACCTTCAGATCTCGCATCCACAGCGTTACTGTTAAGCCATTGGGTGGAAATTAAGTGATTCATATCTCCAGCTTCTCTTAGTTGATGATATAGCGCGAACTAAATCCTATCCCGTCGCTGAGTAACTGTCTTGATGTCCGACTTATTTAGACCCGCCGGCCACGACTTTGATTGGAATTTCAGGAATCACCTCTCAGAGCTAGTCACCAAAGAGCACTAGATTATTTCAATTTTGAGGTTTGTGTGGATTTGTTTGTTGATTTCAGGTTGATATTCATCCAAAATGAATGGATCTAGTGCTCACTGGTGACTAGCTTTGAGAGGTGATTCCTGAAGTTCTAAACAAAGTCGTGGCCGGCGGATCCAAATAAGTCAGACATGAAGGCAGTTTCTCAACGACGCGATAGGATGGAGTTCGCTCTATATCATCATATGAGAGAAGTTGGGGACATGAATCACCGGATTGCAACCTAATGACTCAATAGTAACGTGTCGAATGCGGAACCTGAAGGTTGAGATTTCGATCCCTTGAAGGGTTATGGATCCTCACTGATGAGGAGTTCCATGCTAGAAGGAAACCGTTTTTCAGTCCTTCAGTGCTTTGAGTATTACTAGCTTAAGCAAAATAAACTTCTGCATAGTCGTATAGCAATTACAAGATATCCTATGTATAATAAAGCATTTCCCAACTAAATCACCTCTAGACCTGAAGCACACCTAGAAAAATTTATATCAAATTTCCTAAGTGGAATACTCATTGAAGGAATCCCTGCAACTTTATTGGACGTTAAACAAATCAAGTATTGGATTAGACCTGACAGAAATGAAAAGAAGATTAGTTTTTATGAAATGGAGGTTCTACAAAGAGATTCTGGGTCAGATAGAAATGCTCCATTCCATTACTCACTGAAGTCGATGTTCTTTCCCCCTTTCTCTTCTTTTTCATTCTATACGACTTGCCACTTTATGCTAGTAACGATTTTGTTGAGAATGATGATAACCTGATAGTTTGTTTCTATGGCTACAATTTCTTCGTCACACTGTTTCCAAATAGATGAATAATTTTGTCCGCCATTGAACGACTGTCCTCCATGAACTGTTTCGTGCTTTGTTCTTCAAAATGCCAAACTACCAATTTTAGTATGAAAAGAGCGAGAAATAGCAATGGAAGCAGGATAAAATGGATTCATTTCATTTGGCTGGTATCTTGCCAGCTGCTTTCATGCAACCTAGAATATTAAAAGATATAGTTTTGTTGAAAAATTTAAATTTTGTAAATCATGGTTCTTGCTTTTTTGAAATTCATGAAAATGAATTTGTGCATGAAGTGTCTTTTTCCTCTTCAGACGTCACATGACTCCTGTTTTTTGATGGTTCTGTATTGGAAAATGTAACAAGAGTGATCTGTCTCGGTGTGTATTTTTCATCTGATCTTTCTTTGTCCTCCTTCCAAAAGAGTCTACTGTTCAGTCAATCCCTGGTAATTATTCATTTGAAATCATGAAACCTGCCAAAAAAATTGAAAAGACTTTCACCATCGTTCCCGAATATAAACAAAGAATTCGTTTATTGTTTCATTATTGATATAAAACATAAGTTTTGCTGAACTTTCATTAATTTGTTCTACAGATAAATGGTACCGACGTTACAAGAGCGTCGTTAAATCAAGTGGTTGATTTGTTGTCGACCTCAACTGGTGATAAGGTGTCCTTAACTCTGATATCACCGAAATGTTTATCACCTGTTCTGAATGTAAACAATGGAAATGATGAGGATGATGGTGGTGGACATTACGTAATCTCGAAAGGTGGTAGTGATGGTTACTCTATTCATTTGGTCAATAAAGTTATATTGCCTTCACAACCGAATAAGTCTAATCAGACAGTGAGAAGTACAAAATTAGTTAGACATTCGACAATTTCATCAATTTCATCAGAACGAAGTTCTGAAAGGACATTTGTTTCTTCGCTGAATGGAAACTCATGCATGACAGGTAGGTGTGAAAGACTGAAACGCATATTTGTCTAATTGTTTGTAATGTAAAATTCCCATGAAATTCTGTAAAACATCACAATCTTCGAAGGATATTGGTTACATATGATTTTTCTTAAATTATAATGATATTACTGCATAACTTGTACATAAATGAACCTTGTTGCGTCTTAACAAGGGAAAATAAACATTCATGACATTAGAAAACTAACACTGATGTGAACAACTAGAAAGGTTAGAAGTTGACGTAGAATGCCTTAGATTTAAAAAGACGACTGTTTATTTTGTTACCTGTATTAGGGTCAGCTTACGTAATATTCCACTCCTAAAAGATTAAAGGTTCAGAAGGCACTTATTCTGACCTGACAGGCATAACTTCACTAGGTGATAGAGTAAACTGAATGTAAAGTAAGTAATTACACTGAAACCTGGACTTCCGACTACATGTAACAAAAATGACCAATTGAAGACTGTTGAGATTTTCAGTATCCTATTCTTCTGAATTATTACACAACCACTGCTTTCTGTTCACATGTAACGTCTACTTTTCTCTGTGAAGGGCGTTATCTGCTACACTTCGACTGTATACATTTTGTCGATAAAGTAAGCAGAGTCACACTAGAAATTTTTCTATTGATCCAATTTAATTGCCTACATATTCTGTTGTGATTACTGAGGGAATGAATCAGGAAACGTAGCGCGAATTCTTAACATGTTTAACGTACTAGCTTCTTATTTGGATACTTATTTTATTCCAGTAGTTACGATGTTTCGATTAAAAGTTGAGCCACTGAGACTACCTGATTAGCAGTGTTTTAGCAGAATGCTGCTGTCGATGTTGGGTGATGATTGAAGGTGAAGTGAAAATCGGCATCATGACTGGATTCAAACCAGTGGCCTTCAGGTTACCATATGGGTCTTGTAGCTCTGTTGGTAAAGCTCTAGGGTGGTTCCTCGGAGGTGAATGGTTTAAATACTCCCATGACCCACATTTTCGTTTTACTTTTACTCATCACCTAGCATCAATAAACAAAGAAAAAAATGTACGTAACAACATGCATTTGCAAATTAGGCAAATAATTTATCTTTTAAGCACGTATGAGAAAAAATCAGTCGATCTATTGACGTTTGCACTACTTTGATAGTAATCCATTAATTCACCCTGTTGACCGTAAAAAATTAGGAAGGGACATCGTAAGCGAATGGTTGCATATGAAAAGTGTGCTCCTTCAACTATGATCAAAGGTGACGCATCTACTTATTGATTTCACTCAATTGAACTAAAAGTTGTGATCTCAAACCACATATCACTTAAACTTGGAACAGTTGTTTCCATCTTGGGTCAATGCTTTATGAGAGATATACAATTGTTAGTCTTTCAGCTTTCTACAGATTCACATCATTAATATGGAACTATCTGGTTAGAATGTTGCTGATACAAAGGCTTCAATAAAAATGTTTTACTGTCACTATATACAGAGAAAAATCTACTAACAGAAGCTGAGATAATTTAATTATAATTCACCGAAATTTTAAAAAATGAAGCGCGGGATTCCGGACAAATGGACGAATGGAAATATATCCTTCTTTGGCTTGATCATGTATCAGGTAATCCTAGACAAGAAAGAACAGGTGTTAGTTGGTTGGAGGATATCAGCAGGAAGCCCTGGACCTGGGTTTCGTGCTTCTTGGCACTCGTCAGCAAGGCGTATCTGCAACATCGACGGAACTGATGTCTCACCTGAGATCCGAACCCGCTTCACACAGTTTTGTTGTCAGCGGCTTCACCACTAAGCTATTCGGGCCGCGACTGACCTCCTGTAGGACTGGCTTACATGTATTGATTGTCCAAGGGAGAGCAACCAATTTCGTGTTGTCTAGTCCTGAGTGCAGACCGAATTCTATCGATCATATTTGCAGTGTGGCAACCAGTCCCAACAGACGTCAGTCGCTGCCCGAATAGCTAAGTGGTAAAGTTGCTGACAACACTGGGTGTAGCCAGTTCGAATCTCAGGCGGGACATCAGTTCCATCGAGGTTGCAGATACGCCTTGCTGACGAGCGCCAAAAAGTACGAAACCCAGGTCCAGGGCTTCCTGCCGATTGCTTCTAACCAACTAACATCTACTAATGTGCACCGCAATGCTGAGCTTCCTAGCTTGGTTGCCACATTGCAAATATGATCGATAGAATTCGATCTGCACTCATGACTAGACAATATGAAATTGGTTGCACTCCCATGACCGATCAATACAAAAGAACAGGTGTGCTGCTCTCCTCTATTCTCAACGACTTTCTATCCTGTGTCACTTTAAGATGAGTACTTTGAAATATGTCAGCTTAACTTAGAGAATTTGTTTATAGGTTTGTCTTGAAAAATATTGTTTCATAAAACACCTTTTTTCACCAGTTTCAGTTACCTTATATTGTTGGTGATTTCTGTTTCTTACTTCTTTTAAAGGTTATCATTAATTCGGTTAATGCTTCTTTTCTTCAGATGAAGGGGTTTGGTGTTATTCGCCTAGTATCAGTACAAATGCATCTGCACGTAGCTCTTCAAGTAGTCGGCACGATCCAACAGTAACCAAAACGAAATTTGTTGCAAATCCAGGTATGATGCAACAATCCCCTGTGCCAAACAGTAAGCAAAATCTTGATATACAAGCACAAAGGGTACGATTTCGAGGCTTGCCAAGATCTCAGACGACGACAGGTATTTCAAATGTAAGTAATGTGATAATGAAACCTCTTTTGTCAACCAAATATTTTATTGATCTCCAGAATTCTGTGTATGCTTAGTTTCATGCAACAGATGTGAGATACATCGTAACTCGGTGCCCAAGTTTTTTCAAACCATCCAGTCCATTGTTGGTCAGGATACCTTCAAACTTATTTCTAATTGGATTAAGTTTTCAAAGATGTGAGATAGTTGTGCACTTATAATTTAAACTATGCCTACACCTATTCTGTTTCCTCTTGGTGTTCTAAACTGAATCACTTATCAGCAGTGAAATATGGGATAATTTTAATGAATGAGGTGACGAACAAATATGTTTGTTCATGAATATAAAAATAGGAATAGGGGAGAGATAACTACGAATGATGATCGTTTCATTTCCATCAGGCTTTGATAATAAGTCCCAAATTTTTTCATCACCAGATTGGATGACTTGCTTCACATTTTGTACCGGATTCCTCTGCTAGCCACTATCCATCAATGAAATAGAGAAGTAATTTACAATTTTAATGGAATTTCTATCACTCCAGGCCACTTAAGTCATTCACCTAGATTCATCTGTACAGTTTGATTCGGTGAGTTGAATTCGTTCATTTGTGCTCACGATAATTTTTGTACAAAATTATGAAACAGCAACCAGATATATAGATCACTCCGATGTATCTAGGTCAATATACGAATAAATATAGGTAGTTTGCGAATACATACTAATTGTCTTACGAAAGCGATAACTATTTTGACAACTTATTGAGTATATCTGTAGTCATGAAGTATCTTTGGTTTATTGGTTGCACTTGTATGCAGAAAATATCCATTCCATTTGTCGGGTAGATCTCACTCATTTCATTTCACTTAAGACTCCCTGCTTTTTGTCAGTAGCTCAGTTCAGCTTTTGAACCTGCACGGCTGTGCACATATGAGGTCATTAATGTTTAACATTTTAGCCATAAAATGTCAATAAGCATAGCCAGTTCAGTTAACCTGAATTTTGCTCAGTAACTTTTTCATGGTATCATAACTTTATGATTAGTGATAGTCCGTTGAAAATTTCCTGATATCTATGGCTGGTATTTCGTTTGGGGAATGTGAACTCAGTATTTCTTTCAGATAGGAGAACTTTGTCAGTGGGATCAGAAATCAATTCGCACCAAATTGTCACTAAAGCAAAGTCAGTATTATGCTATGCAGTGATGAAAATTTAACTGAATGTCATCCAAAGCCCTTGCATTTTAAAAGATGGCTTGGAGTTTTTGAATTGCATTTCAATACCATTAGAAATGTTTCTGATATGCTCCATCAATGTGAGAAACCATAAAAGTCACGTTGATGACATATCGGAGATAGCCTGTATGTATTCAACCTCAGGTATTGTGGCATCAAGCCACCTGAAGCTTCACTGGATTTTGAAAACAGTTAAGTGTATCCTAAACTGTGATACAAGCGATTTTGTTACATGTTCGGTTGAAATGTCACTGAAAAAATAGCTTGTGTACGTTTAGATAAAATCATGAGATGTCAAGGAAGTACCAGCACTGCTTAATAGATGTAGGCTTCCGATCAGCATCAAACACTCTGTAATGTGTCAACATTCAAAAAAGCATAAACATATGATCAGGAGAAAAAACTCTCAGAAGTATGCATAACGAAATCAGTTCGTTGCTTAGTACTATCAAAGACAGACTGTGTTTTATTTCGTACACCTATCGTAAATGATCTTAGCAAACTCAGTATTTGATTCTTTTTTGCATATACACTGGATTAAAAGTGACCTTATTCGTCAAAACATAATCTCAATGCAATTATCGCTAAACTATATGTATAATGATGCATTCAGTGAACTTTGAACTGCAGTTTAAAACTGAACTGGTATCTATTGGGAAGTAATTCTTCACTGTTAATGAATAAGATCGATAACTTCTTCAGCTTTTACAACGCAAAACATTCAACAACCTTTTCTCGACATACAGCTTGTTTATCTAGAATTGTGACTGCAGATTATGAAGCAAACCACTGATTAGAGGAAACAGAAACAATGTTAACCCATGGAAATATATATAGTTTGCTAATTCTTGTCGTTGAACACCTAACTCATCAAACTAAAACGTGCTAAAGCTGAATGATCAACATAGGAATCAGTAAATTATCTGATCGTAATGGTTCTTCGAATGGCTTACTACAACTTTTTCCAGCTGACCTAACGTTGGAGGATTCTGTTGTATAGGTGACGCGAGAATGAAGAAACGCGTATTTCGTTAGCTTTTTAACTCAATACTCAAAATATTGGAGTGGCAAGAAAGCATAAGACTATTTGTCACCTAAAAAAATATTTTACGTTCGAAAATTGAGTGTAATAATGAATCTAAAAGTGCTTTAATCATGTTTTCATTTTCTTCCAGGTGGACCAGGATAAATCAGGAAACGCTATGACAAATTCTTTATACTTTCCACGTAATCCCAGATTTCATCGTGTAGGTTCAAATGACTCCCGGCATTCTTCTCACTCCCCAACAAGTTTTATGCAATCCAGCAAGCCAATAACAAATGATTTGCGTGTATTAGACGGCAGATTACACCGAAATCTCAGCAATAATTACCCACCTAATGCAATTTTTAAGATGTCATCAAGGCAATCAGCTGCTCATCGATCCTTTCCAATATCTGATCAACAATCTTCACCAATAATCACAGGTAGACCAACACATCTTGTTAGACGACCTATATCATTAAATCAGAGACAAGAAAGAAGAATGTCACTTATCTATCAGACAATGAGTCAACGTCAGCAATGACTGCAACGGTATCCACACTTGGAATGACAGTTGAGTCCAGATCAACTACTAGAGGAATCTCCCCAACTAATTCAGAATTAGTATTACCACCACCTGCTGAATTCTCTGGTTAACTGCTTAAAAGTCATGTGAACCTTTAAGGTGTATACAACTCTTACACTGCTTTTTTCTTCAATGCTTTTCTGGAAAGAATGATGTTTATTATTTCTTCTTCTGATTGTTACATATTTATTGTACAGCTGTGACACAAAATCTGTTTGTCTTATCTTACTTAACTTTTCTTAGATATCATTATTGTTCAAGGATTAATGATCATTGATTAGCAAGAGACTTTTATCATCAAAAATGCAAGAGGTAAAAAGTAAGAAAATTCTAATTGGCACTAAACTGTAATCAGTCCCCTTGTGCACTGATTTTTTCATATTGTTCATCTCCTATTTAAGCCTTTCACCACTTTATTATGAAGAGAGTTTTGTTTTCTATTCATTACTTGTGATACACTGAACCAAATACCTGCAAGAGCCACATGTACCGTTGATTCGCATACCACATTATTATCCGTTCAAATATTACCAAAGGATTCAAGATTTGAGTTTAACATTGTATTATCTGGACTGATGCAATATTTGCGTATCCCTAGATTGTTCTTGTTGTTTTCTTTAATCACTTTCATGAAATGATAAACTGTTGTTAGACAGTACATTTTCTTCTAACCGCTTTATTCGTACTATCAATACATCTGTTTCTACTGTCTGTCACCATTTTGCTTTCCTCATAAATAACTGTTCGTCGTTTTTTCACTTCAACTTCTTGCTGTTCTATGTGTACAAATGTGCATTTTGCTCTATAGCAATTACAAAATTAATTTCTCTAGAGGAGATTGTTTGGCTTCTCATCGCGCATACTAAGGATACTACTGATTCATTTTTGACAAACTATCAACATATTAAAAAAAAAGAAATACAAATATGGTGATCTTCCCTACGCACTTTATTTCACATTTCTATTCAAACATAGTCACTTAAAAAAATTGCCGTTCTCTCAAAGTGGAAGTTAGTTTTCTCAGTAAAAGTCACTTTTCATAATCAAAATAAACATGGTGATTGTGATTCACGCATTAGTGACAAGGTCAAACAAGGTGAGTGTTTACGCTATCACCCATGCAGGTTACAACTTCAGTTCCTTTTGCATAGGTTTATGACCTTAGAAAAGAATATCGCTCACTTGACAGGTGTGTCAACACCCTTTATTGTTTATTTATGTGGGTCAACAAACGAAGGAATGGTAAAAATAACGTCACGCTCTCACCAACTAGATGGCCTAACAACATATGAGATAGATATTATATTAATATTTGTCCCTTGGGATCATAGTGGAACGTAGGGCTTCACTTGCACATCACCAGTGCACTCTGTTCTCGGCAAGCTTTTGAACTTGGCTGCACGATGGCTCACAAGTTCTCATTTCTCCCTCACACGATCTCCTCCATGTCACCCTCACCTGGGACACCCAACTGGTCGTTTCCAATCTAGATTCCACTCGAGTGCCTGACCTGGCGCGTGATGTCCCCAATCGGTCTTCTCAGTGCATGCCCAATCGAAGCCATCTCCAATTTTTTATGCATATATATTGGGTGATAGGTTGTTGGCTGGTTCGTTGCAAGCCAGACGCCAGAGGTCTTGTTGTTTATTCTTTCCGGCCATCTGATCTGAACTCCAGTATCGAGCATAGGCAGTGGTTGATGAATGTCTGTAGTTTGTCGGAAATCCACAACCTAAAGCGCCAAGTCTCTGAACCATACAGCAGCTCTGACTTGACTGAATTAATGTTGAAAATCCAGATAATGATCCACATGCTGAGTGCAGAAGATCTCCACACTGGTTTGAGGTCATGCCGCCGCCTGTAGTTGAAACACTGCCTAAATAGGTGAAAGAGACTACTTCCTATAATTCCCTCAGGTTGACGGTGAATTCTGACAAGTATTTTTACGATGTGATATTGAAATTGTGGGTCTCAAGAAATTTCGGTGAATTTTTGTAAAGGAAATAGATGGTGAAGAATTTATTCAAAACCCATCCATTTACCTCGCGTGTGATAAACGATAGTTGGTTTTGTCATTAATATAACTATTTTTTCGATATATATTATTATTGAAGCTCTTATACTGAAATAAAGCCAGCGTAGTAGTAGAAATTATATTTTGGTTTTAACCATTAATGATAAGAAGTGAATATGGGTTCGTAAAATGTATAATTTGTGTGGCCTATACAGCTCACTATATGCGATTAAAAGAATACATAGACTCCTTCTGAGTTGGCCAAAAATGACAGTTTATCACTAGCACGTTGATAATTTATAAGCTGATTACAGAAAATGGTCTGCAGTCCAGCAGACATGCATGAGCTAAGTACAGGCTTCTGATTTGGTCTACCTCAATGTGAATGCCTATTCACGTGCTCCTGCGGAGATGTTTGTATAAACCGCATGAGTCGTGCATTTAAAAAAATGTCTACTTGACTGTCAAGAGGTGAAAGTAAATCTATTACCGATTCCATTAGCAAGTATCTGCTCTACTCTTTCCACATAATTGCTTAAGAGTCTATGCTTGACAATGCTGACAAAATCAAAACAAACATTTCAGCAGGAGTGCAGTTTCACATTTTGTGCACGGTGAAAGTACCAGGAACTCATTATTTTGAGCCTGATCTCTGAGTGAAGCAGACATTTACTGCAATACATTCAATACCAAGGTAGTAATTATTCCTTTGTTGTTCTAATTTAGATATTATCATTCTTTTCACTGTCGTCAACTCCAGTATTATCCTTCGCTTATTCTATGCTTACTTTAAACTAATTAACAGAAAATTCAACTATCTTGCTTCAGGTTTCGGAACATTCTTTGCTTCATCAGATGGCGAATTTTTCTTGTTGCTTGCACCGTCGTGTCCATTATTATGTAGGCTTTTTTGTTTAGAAATAAAGTTGAATGATATGTTAATAAATCAACTGAACACTACTATTCAGTAATAGTCTGTTTTCTTTTCTGATAGATGCAAAACAATTGTTCAGCTTCAAGAAATGATTTTATCGAAGAAAGAATTTTCACTTCTAATTTGTGTTGCATTTTATGACTTAATGAGCTCGTGTCACCGCCTAATTAAAAACTCATATCGTTCCACTGAAAGAGAATACACCTGCGAATTCTGAATACAGAATAGTGGACTGAAAATGTAACTTGGAATTTCATGTGTTGAGCGTAGATATGTTTTCTGTACTCTTTTTCATCAATTTAGTCAAATGCTTTAAAATATTTTTCAGAGCACTGAATACTCAGAGTTCCTTGGGAGTTTGATAATACACGGTAAGATGGACTTTTGCTCTTCGTAGCAGCTCATGTGAGAAAGCTTTGATAAACCGTTATGTGAAATAGGCATATGAAATTGCTTACGTTCTTGAGAGTGTAGGCTCACTAAAATAGCAAACGCACAGTGATGTAATTTAGTTGTCCAGCTAACTCTTCAAGCTCTGACAGATTAGCTTTTGGCAATAACTGTCAACTCAGCATAAAAATTTATCATTCATTACAATTATGAACATGTGAGACTTTCATTACAGTTTGATGTTAACTTGAGAAATGTGGTAACATAAGTGCTTAATGCTCTATTCCATCTTAGTTGTTTTTGATTCCGGATAAAAGCTCTTTTGATGTAAGTGACCATTGAGAAAACTGTTGGTAACTGATATCTACGTTCGAAGTAATCATTTATAAAAATTGATTTTTAGAATCCCTTCTGGTAATATTTATGAAGTAATTTCCGATGGTAGGTCACTTACAAAAGGTTGACAAATCTGAATGACCACCTGGAAAAAGTTAGTGGTAGCAAAAAATGAACAGTAGCAATGATAATAATATATGCATGTGGTTGTTATGAAATAAATGTAAAATGTGAAAAATCGCTGCAAAATCTACTACCATTATAATTGCACCATTACCAGCCTCGCATGTGTATGCATATGCAATGAAATCTCAGCGAATTTAAGGCATACAGGTGGTGGAGATTTTGTGAATAGACAAAGCGTTCATAAAAAAGTTTCATGCGTTCACATTACTCAGGGTGGCTTTAGGAATTAATTACCTTCAACACAAAAAGATTGGGCAATTTGCCTCAAAAGGTAAAATCAACTGATGGGACAATTAACACTGAGAGAACTGAGGGAAGCATTTTCCTTTCTTGATTTGGCACCCTCTATTATTTCAGCGTACTGTTTCGTCCTATAAAAAAATATATATCGCATTTAGGGTTAAGTTTTGAATGTCAGTATCGTACCGAGGGTTGATTAGCTAGAAGACAATATTCACGAGTAGTATTTGTAAACTCAGACTTCTTTTTGAATGTAGTGAATTGCATTGCATTCATGAATATTCTTATGCAATGAATATTTAGCAGTACACAGAAACTTCTTCTAAACGTGGGTTTTATGAATGTTGGGGACCATTACCAACACCTACCCACAATCCAAAAGTTTATGAAGTCGCCGGGACTTTTATATGTATAATCTGTATCCCCCAATAGACGTTTTACCGTTTAATGAAACTCTTAGTGATATCGGTTTTGGTATTGTGGGTTGAATGATTTCATTCGTTGCGGATTCACTCTGACAAAAATCTTTATCCATGACTTTGCTTTTATTCATTACTATAGAATAAATGGCACCGAATGCAGTGCAACACAACGTCAAAACAAGCAGAATAATGACTGTAGTGGGATAAGAACATGTACATAGTTGGGTGGTATATTTTGATTACCTTCTTAATGGTTAGTTAGTGTTCAGAGAAATTCAGCTTGTTTTCAGGTTGGAATTCACCACAGACTGACATCAGTTGGAGGAAAATTGGAAAACTGGGAGCACTGGACAGTTGCTTCGTCCAAGTATGGGACTCTCCAGCAGTACGCAGCCATGATATCAGCTGAGACAGAACCCAGGACCTTCAGGTTCCG